CGTATTTAATTATTAAGAAATTGTTTAACCGATCTGGATTTAACTTTTCAAAGACAATACATATATTTCACCGGCATTTTTAGTTTCCTTTAAAACTGGTTTTGAGATATTTAATTGGCAACTGATTGGACCTAATTTTTTACTAAAGTTCATATTGGCGACGATAACGACAGAATTTTTATACGAGTAACTCTTGATCAGGGTCACAAGCAGAGTCGATCTGGTCATGTCCGTCGGTATGAACGTCGAGATCAACATGCAGATTTTCGTGACGCCGACGCTGCGCAACTTAGTTTTAGACATTGGCACAACCATTTCAAAGTCCACAAACCGCTAAAAACTGTCACGCCCAAATTGGCGATACATTTTTTAATTTTTCTTTATATTATATTTTTTTTTTCGTATTTCAATCGATATGATAGAAAAATTTTGAAGTTTCCTTTTTCAATTACACAAGCTGAGTAAAAAAACTTTTTGGCACCCCCAATCTAAAACCCACAAACCACTCAAAACTGATACGCCCACAATTTTGAACAATGGATTTCTTCAGTTTCATTATTTGTCTTGCCAATTCCTATCGGTATACCAAGAACACTTTGGCCCCGCCCTTTCATACCCCCTAATCTGTCACGCCACACTTTTTAATTTTTTTTGTATTAAAAAATATTGTAATATTGCTAATTTCAATAGGTATGCCAAAATATTTTGCCCACACTCACAAGTCGCACAGAGCTACCACGTCCCTACTTCTGACTTAGGCTTTACATTTTTTTACCCGTTATTTGTAGAGTGTAAGGGTATACTAGATTCTGTGAAAGTAAGTCACAGGAAAAGGAAAGCGTTTCCGACAATTTTTTTATTAGTGTTTTAAATTTCTATCGATTTGTCAAAAAACTTTTAGACACGCACGCTCTAACGCCCACAAATGACCAGCCCACACTTTTGAAAAATGTTTTGATTTGATAATTTGTCTTGTCCATTTCTATCGGAATAAAGTTCACAAGCCGCCCAAAACTATCACGCCCATACTTTTGAAACATTTCTTTTTTTTTCTCATTTTATTTTTTTTTTTCAATTTCTTTCGATATGCCAGAATAATGTTACAATTTCTCATTCGCTCTTTCACTTGCTGGGTAACGGGTATATTATAACTGGGAACTCGACTATTGCGTTCTCTCTGCCCAAACCATTTTCTATCGTATGCCATTTCACTAGCGGAGTAACCCGTTACTGATAGTCGAGGAAATGGACTATATCTTTTTCTCTTGTTTCATAATATTTGATTTCTTATTCTTAGCCGATCTTTATTCATGTGCAGAGAGTTTTCCAACCGTATGTCCTTCTCAGTTTTAAATCTATCAACATGAAACTTTCCCAAAAGTCTTTATTATATTGCAGCCAGTCGGAAGGGCCCGACCATACAACAGATATATAACACAGCCGACAAAAATTGAAAAGAAATCCACATAAAGATTTTTTCTGATTAAGGAGAAAAAAAGATTGTGTGGTCGAAGACATTGGATACGTCAGACTCAAAATAAAAATTTATTTATAAAAAGATTTTTTCTGATTAGATTTTAGATTTCTGATTTTAGCATAGAAGCAGGTTGTGTGGTGGAAGACACTGGATACGTCGGACTCGTTCAGTTTGGAAGAAGCATTATCTTTGATAGCATTGGAATCTCATACATACATATTTCAAAATTGAAATATCAATAAAAAGTGGGAAAAAAATAATAAAATGAAAAATATTTTAAACTGTTTTTTTAAAGTGTGGGCGTGAGAGTTGTGGGAGTAGTATTGGGCGTAGCAAAAAGTTTTTTGTCAAATCTGTAGAAATTTACAAGATATATGAAAAACTGAAAAAATATCACTACATCTTTCAATAGTGTGGGCGTAACAGTTTAAGGCGGTTTGTGGGCGTTGGAGTGGGCGTGGCAACAAGATTTTTTGCAAATCTATATATATTTACAAAATATATTCAAAAATATCAAAACATTTTTCAAAATTGTGAGCGTGACAGTTTTTTGTGCTTTGTGGGCATTAGAGTGGGCGTGGCAACATTTGGAAACAAACTTGCGCTGCGTCTATGTCTCTGGAAGCTGCATGCTTAATCTCAGCATTCTAGCTTTTGTAGTTTCTGAGATCGAGGCGTTCTATCGGACAGACGGACGGACACGGACATGGCTAGATCGACTCGGCTATTGATGCTGATCAAGAATTTCAAAAGCCATAAACACATTCTCTCAACGAACCTAATAACAAAGAATATTTTTCAACTAAATATACAAAGCTAAATAACAAACACCTCTTAAATCTCTCCAACAAAAAAAAAGACATTTCTTTCATCTACTGAATATAATATGGCACGCAGGACATATTCCAGAAATTTGGATAAAAAGAAGGTGCTGATAGAAAAAAAAACAAGACAATGCTATAGTCGAGAGCCCTGGCTATCAGATACCCGTTACTCAGCTAGTTGGCGTGGCAAAAAGTTGATTGGCAAACTTAAAGAAATTTACAAGATAAAAAAAAATGTAAAAATATCAGAACATTTTTTAAACGTGAATACTCTACGAATTAGCTTTTACTCTACAAATAGCGGGTATGACCAGAGAGATTGTTATAGTCTAGTTCCCCGACTATCAAAAACCCGTTACTCAGCTAGCGGAGAATTTGGTGCGGCTTGTGGGCGTGGTAAAAAGTTTTTAGGAAATCTATAAAAAATAAGAAAATATATAAAAAAAATTACAAAATATCACAACATTATTTCTAAAGTGTGGGCGTCACAGCTTTTTCCGGTTTGTGGGCGTGGCAAAAAGTTGTTTGGCAAACTTAAAAAAATTTAAAAGATATAAAAAATAATGAAAAAATATCACGTGTAATTAAAAATATATACATAGTAGCATATGTACCATAGTATAACACTTTGTTACCCATACCCACACACACACACACACCACACACACACCGTACATATGTGCCACTGATAATACATGAAATGATACAATTGCCCAGCAACACTCTTTAACGTACAACCCTAACACATAAGTCAGATCCCCATTCTCTTGGTGACAATAACAATTTCGGCCGCGTCAAAAACATCCGCCGATGCCGAATTCGTTATTCCCGCTAAGCAACCATATAGGTAACGCAGCACAAATCCTGGTAATTTTCCATGCGCAACTCTCATAAAGAGCGCAACCCATTTGAACAAAGAGGAGAACCACTCAAGTTCATATACACAATGTCGACCAAGGATTTGCTAAGCGTTCAACTCACACTCCAGATTTAGATTTAATTCATTCGCTCGATACTTAAGATGTGAATTGTCTCCCCTTCCACGATTGCACATTTATTTGAATAAAGAATTTATAATTTTTTCTAAATAAATTACCGTGGATTCGTTTTATATAATATATATTCTCCTGCCTGTTACATACTTTTCAACGAATCTAGTATACTATTTTACTCCACGAGTGACGGGTATAATGAACAAAACTGAATCAGAATACACATAAATTATTTATTCATAGTCAACAATAATTATCAAATGATAACGAGTTCAAGACATGAGTTATGTCTAATACATAATAAAAGTAGCTCCTAAAGAAAGATTTCGTATTGAAAACTGTAAGCAATGGACGTTGAATTCTACGAAGTCTTTAACGGAAATTGATAATGATAAGTGATCATTTTAGCTCTGCTGATATACGCAGCTATGACGAAGTAGACTTAACACTGCTCATCGGTACCGTGGATTTGAGTGCTGACACGCAGGTTGTATCCACATACTGAAAGGAACAGATGAAGGGTGCCATTTCAATAGCAATCTCATTCACGTAGATCTCGTTGCTCCAGCTTCACCGGTTGTTACGACTACTGTCTGGATTTTATAGCCAACTTCATAGGAAACAGGGGGGAAGTAATGTGAAAAAATTTCAACATTTACGTGGTTGTCTGCGCTTAGCACAGCCAAATCCTTGAAACCTACCGAAGCTAGCTATGACAAGCCGTTTGACTATCAGTTGTCAATAAAGGTTCGTCAACTGGTCCTCGATGATTGAGTGACAAAATAATATTGCATCTCCGAATACTTAGCACAATATGGCAACCGTCACGGAATCGGGTTATCCACAAATTTTTTGCATACACATACACAGCACGCAGGAAAGATGAGAAGAAGACCTAACGACGGACAACATTGCCAAGAACGACAATATCGAAAAATATCCCTTCTTTGTAAAGCTATATCCAAGTCTGCGGCCCTGCGTTTATGTCTCTGGAATCTGCATGCTTAATCTCAACTTTCTTGCTTTTATAGTTCGTGAGATCGAGGCGATCACAGACGGACAGACAGACGGACGTGGCCAGTTCGACTTGGCTATTTATCCTGATCAAGAATATACGTGTATACACTTTATATGGTCGGAAACGCTTCCTTCTGTCTGTTACATGCTTTTTAACAAATCTTGTATACCCTTCTCGTCTACCATTCTCGAATATACGTGTATACACTTTAATGGTCGGAAACGCTTCCTTCTGCCTGTTACATGCTTTTTAACAAATCTTGTATACCCTTCTCGTCTACGAGGTATGGGTATACAAATCAGGCTGCGCTAAAAAATTATCGTGCACTAAATATAATAAATTGCAATTTAAATACTGCTTACAGCTGACCAATATGTAACAATCAAAACAGACAATTAAATGGTAACTCTTCGATATTTACCACGCATTTTTGAATGTTTACTATAATCGTAAATTTATTTATTAATTTTGTTAACTTGTTAAATCAATAATTTATTGTTTCCATCTTAAAAAATTAATGTTTGGGTATATTGTAGATGACTACTGTCATAGAAATTGGCAACCAAAAGAGGACTATAAGTTTGCACTCTTTCTTCTTCCACCGCATATTTGTTTTACCCCAATTTATTTTAAATTAGTCGTCAGTTTGGGGACCCTCACTCCACAGTTGTCACTTTAATGTATCTCACTTTTTTTGTATGTTGTTATCCGCTTTTAAAGTGTTGAAGTAAAATTCTTGATACTTTTTATAGAACAATTTTTTTTCCAGAAAATGGGGTTAACTGGCATTGACGATGCTCAATTGAGTACTAGTATGTATATGTACATCCAACAGCTTTCACATTCTTGTGATCTCTTTAGTATTATTTAATGAGGGTTGTTTTAAAAGTCACTCAGATGATAAAACATACATATGTCGACACAAATTTATATAATAATTCAAAGCAAGACACGCTTGCCGTACATTTTCCAAAAATAACATGTACGTATGCGTTTTCGTGTTTAAATTTTTTACTTCTGATAGACATTTTTTTAGTAGTCCAATATTTATTATTCGTATTTAATTATTAAGAAATTGTTTAACCGATCTGGATTTAACTTTTCAAAGACAATACATATATTTCACCGGCATTTTTAGTTTCCTTTAAAACTGGTTTTGAGATATTTAATTGGCAACTGATTGGACCTAATTTTTTACTAAAGTTCATATTGGCGACGATAACGACAGAATTTTTATACGAGTAACTCTTGATCAGGGTCACTAGCAGAGTCGATCTGGTCATGTCCGTCGGTATGAACGTCGAGATCAACATGCAGATTTTCGTGACGCCGACGCTGCGCAAGTTAGTTTTAGACATTGGCACAACCATTTCAAAGTCCACAAACCGCTAAAAACTGTCACGCCCAAATTGGCGATACATTTTTTAATTTTTCTTTATATTATATTTTTTTTTTCGTATTTCAATCGATATGATAGAAAAATTTTGAAGTTTCCTTTTTCAATTACACAAGCTGAGTAAAAAAACTTTTTGGCACCCCCAATCTAAAACCCACAAACCACTCAAAACTGATACGCCCACAATTTTGAACAATGCTTGGATTTCTTCAGTTTCATTATTTGTCTTGCCAATTCCTATCGGTATACCAAGAACACTTTGGCCCCGCCCTTTCATACCCCCTAATCTGTCACGCCACACTTTTTAATTTTTTTTTGTATTAAAAAATATTGTAATATTGCTAATTTCAATAGGTATGCCAAAATATTTTGCCCACACTCACAAGTCGCACAGAGCTACCACGTCCCTACTTCTGACTTAGGCTTTACATTTTTTTACCCGTTATTTGTAGAGTGTAAGGGTATACTAGATTCTGTGAAAGTAAGTCACAGGAAAAAGAAAGCGTTTCCGACAATTTTTTTATTAGTGTTTTAAATTTCTATCGATTTGTCAAAAAACTTTTAGACACGCACACTCTAACGCCCACAAATGACCAGCCCACACTTTTGAAAAATGTTTTGATTTGATAATTTGTCTTGTCCATTTCTATCGGAATAAAGTTCACAAGCCGCCCAAAACTATCACGCCCATACTTTTGAAACATTTCTTTTTTTTTCTCATTTTATTTTTTTTTTTCAATTTCTTTCGATATGCCAGAAAAATGTTACAATTTCTCATTCGCTCTTTCACTTGCTGGGTAACGGGTATATTATAACTGGGAACTCGACTATTGCGTTCTCTCTGCCCAAACCATTTTCTATCGTATGCCATTTCACTAGCTGAGTAACCCGTTACTGATAGTCGAGGAAATGGACTATATCTTTTTCTCTTGTTTCATAATATTTGATTTCTTATTTTTAGCCGATCTTTATTCATGTGCAGAGAGTTATCCAACCGTATATCCTTCTCAGTTTTAAATCTATCAACATGAAACTTTCCCAAAAGTCTTTATTATATTGCAGCCAGTCGGAAGGGCCCGACCATACAACAGATATATAACACAGCCGACAAAAATTGAAAAGAAATCCACATAAAGATTTTTTCTGATTAAGGAGAAAAAAAGATTGTGTGGTCGAAGACACTGGATACGTCAGACTCAAAATAAAAATTTATTTATAAAAAGATTTTTTCTGATTAGATTTCAGATTTCTGATTTTAGCATAGAAGCAGGTTGTGTGGTGGAAGACACTGGATACGTCGGACTCGTTCAGTTTGGAAGAAGCATTATCTTTGATAGCATTGGAATCTCATACATACATATTTCAAAATTGAAATATCAATAAAAAGTGGGAAAAAAATAATAAAATGAAAAATTTTTTAAACTGTTTTTTTAAAGTGTTGGCGTGAGAGTTGTGGGAGTAGTATTGGGCGTAGCAAAAAGTTTTTTGTCAAATCTGTAGAAATTTACAAGATATATGAAAAACTGAAAAAATATCACTACATCTTTCAATAGTGTGGGCGTAACAGTTTAAGGCGGTTTGTGGGCGTTGGAGTGGGCGTGGCAACAAGATTTTTTGCAAATCTATATATATTTACAAAATATATTCAAAAATATCAAAACATTTTTCAAAATTGTGAGCGTGACAGTTTTTTGTGCTTTGTGGGCATTAGAGTGGGCGTGGCAACATTTGGAAACAAACTTGCGCTGCGTCTATGTCTCTGGAAGCTGCATGCTTAATCTCAGCATTCTAGCTTTTGTAGTTTCTGAGATCGAGGCGTTCTATCGGACAGACGGACGGACACGGACATGGCTAGATCGACTCGGCTATTGATGCTGATCAAGAATTTCAAAAGCCATAAACACATTCTCTCAACGAACCTAATAACAAAGAATATTTTTCAACTAAATATACAAAGCTAAATAACAAACACCTCTTAAATCTCTCAGCTAGTTGGCGTGGCAAAAAGTTGATTGACAAACTTAAAGAAATTTACAAGATAAAAAAAAATGTAAAAATATCAGAACATTTTTTAAACGTGAATACTCTACGAATTAGCTTTTACTCTACAAATAGCGGGTATGACCAGAGAGATTGTTATAGTCTAGTTCCCCGACTATCAAAAACCCGTTACTCAGCTAGCGGAGAATTTGGTGCGGCTTGTGGGCGTGGTAAAAAGTTTTTAGGAAATCTATAAAAAATAAGAAAATATATAAAAAAAATTACAAAATATCACAACATTATTTCTAAAGTGTGGGCGTCACAGCTTTTTCCGGTTTGTGGGCGTGGCAAAAAGTTGTTTGGCAAACTTAAAGAAATTTAAAAGATATAAAAAATAATGAAAAAATATCACGTGTAATTAAAAATATATACATAGTAGCATATGTACTATAGTATAACACTTTGTTACCCATACCCACACACACACACACACACACCACACACACACAGTACATATGTGCCACTGATTATACATGAAATGATACATTTGCCCAGCAACACTCTTTAACGTACAACCCTAACACATAAGTCAGATCCCCATTCTCTTGGTGACAATAACAATTTCGGCCGCGTCAAAAACATCCGCCGATGCCGAATTCGTTATTCCCGCTAAGCAACCATATAGGTAACGCAGCACAAATCCTGGTCATTTTCCATGCGCAACTCTCATAAAGAGCGCAACCCATTTGAACAAAGGGGAGAACCACTCAAGTTCATATACACAATGTCGACCAAGGATTTGCTAAGCGTTCAACTCACACTCCAGATTTAGATTTAATTCATTCGCTCGATACTTAAGATGTGAATTGTCTCCACTTCCACGATTGCACATTTATTTGAATAAAGAATTTATAATTTTTTCTAAATAAATTACCGTGGATTCGTTTTATATAATATATATTCTCCTGCCTGTTACATACTTTTCAACGAATCTAGTATACAATTTTACTCCACGAGTGACGGGTATAATGAACAAAACTGAATCAGAATACACATAAATTATTTATTCATAGTCAACAATAATTATCAAATTATAACGAGTTCAAGACATGAGTTATGTCTAATACATAATAAAAGTAGCTCCTAAAGAAAGATTTCGTATTGAAAACTGTAAGCAATGGACGTTGAATTCTACGAAGTCTTTAACGGAAATTGATAATGATAAGTGATCATTTTAGCTCTGCTGATATACGCAGCTATGACGAAGTAGACTTAACACTGCTCATCGGTACCGTGGATTTGAGTGCTGACACGCAGGTTGTATCCACATACTGAAAGGAACAGATGAAGGGTGCCATTTCAATAGCAATCTCATTCACGTAGATCTCGTTGCTCCAGCTTCACCGGTTGTTACGACTACTGTCTGGATTTTATAGCCAACTTCATAGGAAACAGGGGGGAAGTAATGTGAAAAAATTTCAACATTTACGTGGTTGTCTGCGCTTAGCACAGCCAAATCCTTGAAACCTACCGAAGCTAGCTATGACAAGCCGTTTGACTATCAGTTGTCAATAAAGGTTCGTCAACTGGTCCTCGATGATTGAGTGACAAAATAATATTGCATCTCCGAATACTTAGCACAATATGGCAACCGTCACGGAATCGGGTTATCCACAAATTTTTTGCATACACATACACAGCACGCAGGAAAGATGAGAAGAAGACCTAACGACGGACAACATTGCCAAGAACGACAATATCGAAAAATATCCCTTCTTTGTAAAGCTATATCCAAGTCTGCGGCCCTGCGTTTATGTCTCTGGAATCTGCATGCTTAATCTCAACTTTCTTGCTTTTATAGTTCGTGAGATCGAGGCGATCACAGACGGACAGACAGACGGACGTGGCCAGTTCGACTTGGCTATTTATCCTGATCAAGAATATACGTGTATACACTTTATATGGTCGGAAACGCTTCCTTCTGTCTGTTACATGCTTTTTAACAAATCTTGTATACCCTTCTCGTCTACCATTCTCGAATATACGTGTATACACTTTAATGGTCGGAAACGCTTCCTTCTGCCTGTTACATGCTTTTTAACAAATCTTGTATACCCTTCTCGTCTACGAGGTATGGGTATACAAATCAGGCTGCGCTAAAAAATTATCGTGCACTAAATATAATAAATTGCAATTTAAATACTGCTTACAGCTGACCAATATGTAACAATCAAAACAGACAATTAAATGGTAACTCTTCGATATTTACCACGCATTTTTGAATGTTTACTATAATCGTAAATTTATTTATTAATTTTGTTAACTTGTTAAATCAATAATTTATTGTTTCCATCTTAAAAAATTAATGTTTGGGTATATTGTAGATGACTACTGTCATAGAAATTGGCAACCAAAAGAGGACTATAAGTTTGCACTCTTTCTTCTTCCACCGCATATTTGTTTTACCCCAATTTATTTTAAATTAGTCGTCAGTTTGGGGACCCTCACTCCACAGTTGTCACTTTAATGTATCTCACTTTTTTTGTATGTTGTTATCCGCTTTTAAAGTGTTGAAGTAAAATTCTTGATACTTTTTATAGAACAATTTTTTTTCCAGAAAATGGGGTTAACTGGCACTGACGATGCTCAATTGAGTACTAGTATGTATATGTACATCCAACAGCTTTCACATTCTTGTGATCTCTTTAGTATTATTTAATGAGGGTTGTTTTAAAAGTCACTCAGATGATAAAACATACATATGTCGACACAAATTTATATAATAATTCAAAGCAAGACACGCTTGCCGTACATTTTCCAAAAATAACATGTACGTATGCGTTTTCGTGTTTAAATTTTTTACTTCTGATAGACATTTTTTTAGTAGTCCAATATTTATTATTCGTATTTAATTATTAAGAAATTGTTTAACCGATCTGGATTTAACTTTTCAAAGACAATACATATATTT